TTTTTGTACACGTTTATGCATATTAAATCTTTAAATCGTGTTCATGATTAGAAAACTAACGGAAACTTGTTAGGAAGACATTTTTTTACGTTGCACGCGACCTTCATACGAAATCTGTAAAAACAGCACTCTTGTTGACCTGAAACCTTAACAGTGATGCGGTATGACTAAACAGTGATTACAAGATAATCTCTGTTTTTCTCTTGAGATTGTGCGAGGTGTAACTCTGCCCTTGGCGTTTCCAATTCCACTCTTTCAAGATCTTTTATGCTACATTTCTCCCAGAAACCTCTTCCAAAAATACCATAGCTAACTGGGAGAGGAATGGTTATTAGGCCCAACAGAGTTCTTTGTTGTATGTTTTTGTTCGCATTTTGCCTTTGACCATGCACAAAACACAATAGATGTCTAAGAAGCGTCCCGGTTACGTAATTCATGGGATATAAATTGAGCGCAAAACAAAAAGATTGTTCACAGTCGTGAACCAGTTCCAATATAAGTCTTGGAATCTTTGTTTCCTTTTTTGAAATTTGCCGGACTTAACAACCAATTCCCCCATTAGCCTTTATCTAGGCAAATGAACAACCGACTAAGCATAGACGCGGCATAGAAATAGTTTCTGATCGAGATTCCTCGGTAATCGACTGAAAAAGAGGTGCAGTCGCCGCTCAAATAGGGCAGGAAATGTAAACTTGGTCAATTTAGACAATGGCCAATTCCCTCTATGTGACGCACCTGCAGGGAATCATGGTAATTGTGTTCATCAAAACAAATATCCAGCCCGAGATGATGAATACAAATACCATGATTCCCTGCAGGCGCGTCACATTAGAGAATTGGCCATTAAACATTCCTTGTTTAACAAGATTACAAGTTGCGGCAAGACTATAGCGAGGAAAGACTAATTAAAACGTAAATAATGTTAAATTTTCCACATATTCCTATTCTCGCCATCTCAATCACAAAACGAATACTTTGTTGTTGTCATTCGAGGATTGTGGGAAGTTTTAATTAGCCTGGTTTACATTTTATGTCTATCTGTTTTGACATCGACCAAACTCTTGAGAACTCCGGAAAATGTAAGCAAAAGACAAATTGATACCTCCATCACTTTTCATTTTGGATGATTGTTAATCGACTTTCTCGAAGTACTGCGAGAGTATTTAAGTATCTTCCTCAAGACACACATGTACAAGACACTTATGTACATCGGCACGAGAACTTATGACGACCTGTTGATTTGCCTGCCGAATTTTTTTTTGTTTGTTTGTTTGTTTCCCAGCCGACAATATTCAGTGATAATGTTTTACGCTCAAAATGTTGGCATAGGTCCGAAGTGTCCTGAGATTGGGTACGAAACCGACTAAAACTGGGTACGAAACCTCCGGGTACCGTTGATTTCTGTTACCGACGATCAGGAGTTATGTTTGGAAACAACTCTGCTCTGCATTAGCACTCCTTACATCCTCCTTCCCTTCGGCAGCATGTTTTACCATTTAGGTAAACTAGTTTAAATGTAAATAAAGACCAGCAGACAAGGGAGTTGGCACTCGTTTCAATTCTCTTCAGTTTATTTTTGAAGCTTAGAAAAGACCTAGCTAGAAGCTACTGCTTTGAGTTCTCTTGGCGAGAGAATATTCTGCCTCTCTAGTTAACGAGAAATATTAACCCCCTATGAAATGAAGATTATACGTATTAAATGATAATTGCGTTTTGAGTCAACTGCAAAATTCTTCGTTCTATCTATTCCTAACTCAAACGCTTCTTTCCTATACAAGAACACAACCCAGCATAAAAACGCTTTCTCGATTTGCGCATTTAATTAGTCATGGCATTCATTTCAGATTTTTACATCTAATGACCCAGAATTTCTAAGTCAGAACCTCCAAGCCGGCGAGCATCAACATGGAATCGAAGTTCTTCTAATTAGTCTACGTTCATTTCTCATGGTCCGTTTGGGAGAGTGTTGCCATAAATCAAAACCATTTTCACCTGAGTGATTTTTTATTGAATTTGAATTCTCATATATAACTTTATGATGAAGTTAGCTTTAGTGCTTGGAGGAGAAATTACATATATATTCAGAGTTCCTGACACTGAGAGACCAAACGTAAGCCGCTAGATTGTCTAACAGCTCTATGTCGCCTTTAAAAGTATTTTTTGCTCGAGATAATGTGCTCCTGAATTTCTAGATCTGTTTAGAGATGAATTACCTCTTATTGCTGATAGAAAGAGATTCAATGAAAAAGTTGATATTATAATAATTAAATTATTTAAATATTTTAGCACTGACGACTGTTTTTCCTTTCGCATTTTCAGTCCATTCCTTGCATGTTTCAACTATAAACAAGTTTCATTGCTATCGATTCAGCGAGACTACAATTTTAAATTTCAACCACTGACCACCAGGAGCGCAGGCTCTAAGTTTCAGCCATTGGAAGATAAGTAAACTGTTTGGCGTGTTACAATCTTCATTGTTTTTTCTTCGGCGTCATACTGGATCTTAACGGAACGACAACCTGAATCCACACATTGGAGCGACTCAACATGGTTTGCCATATTTGGCATTCGTCTTCAGTTGCGTCATCCCACTCGTTGGAACTCGTGCCCAGGCCTAACCGTACGCCGCCAAGGAACTCGTCACTGGAAGCGCGATCGAAGTCGTAGAGGGTGATCTCTAAAACCCTTTCCTTCAGGTCGTCAGGAGAAAGTTCATCGTAGGAAAACTTGTGGTCAAATGTGGGATTCAGGGTTCGTTTGATCACGGGTGTCTTGTGTTTAAATTTGCCTTTCTTGTCTGGTAATAGAATGCTGTTGTAAAAAGTAAATAAAAGGTATAAAATGAAATAGTAGCTCAAAATAGTGAAAACCGTTTATGAAACAATGTAAAAAGTAAGCCTGCCTAACGAGAGTGAAATTATCAGTGAAAACCGCTAAGAGCACTAAGAACGAGTCATCATCCTGAACAGTGGTGGCCTTTGTAACATGGGGTCATCTGTGGTTGAAAGCCATCCAACCAAATAAAATAATTGATAGAGCATTGCAGTTGGAAGAGGGGGAGAGAGCGGTACTTTATGTGAAACTCCATGTCTTTAGTTAAACTAAGTCCCTACATCTGTTTTATCAGTACTGTCAATAAAAACGCCAGCAGTGTCCTGTTACGTTGTATAGCAACTAGCTAGTGAGAAGAATGTTCAAAAACTCGTCTGCAACCCTTGCTGTTTGCATTTAGTATTTCGATCGTGGAGGTTAACATGACCTCCTCCCCCACTTTCCCCCCCCCCCTTCCCCCTAATCCACCTAACCCTCCTTACAATGGGAGTAATAACTTTACCATTTACAGTAAGGGTCCGACATTCCATCAGCGTCCATTCCAGGCAGATTCCTGGCCTCCAAGAGGTGAACGTGTAATTCACCTTTGTGCCTTCCCCTCTTTTTCACTTTGTCAGCGGTGACATACTTCAAAGCCAGAACTAATTCACAGGGGATGGAAGGCAATCCATCTGTTTCGTCAGTCTGTCGAAAGAGGTAGATAGTTATTACACTTCTTGCGCGCTGTGTTAGCATTTTACCGCTTGTAAGTATCATTTTTCTTTAATTAGGCCCAGGCACTAAGTTCATGATTATTTAAAGATATCGAGGATCCGCTACCAGAATTGATCATTATAAATTATCAAAAAAAGACGTAAACTCTCGACAGCCGGTCTACTGTCTTCGACGCATAAAAATTTGTGAAGGATAAAAATAAGACAACAAGATAATTTAAGGAACTCTGTTCCCTTATAAACGTATGTGATACAACCATGCCACAGAAGCGTTTTTTCCATCGCCTTAACCTTATGTGGTGCCTTTGATTGCGCAGCTTAATTCCCCTAACTGGTCACTACAAGTTCTTTGAGTGTTGGTTCTGGGAATTTAAAAACGCACAGGACAACATACGGTAGATAGCTGATAATTTCATTTATTATGGTCGCCTCCTGTTCAATAACGTACCGATATTGCAAGGGAAAACTGTGTCTTGATCCTCTCGGAGAAAAAGGTAAACATACTTACCTTATCTGTTAAGTTAAACCATTTCGCTATAGGTTGTTCCAGTGAGTTCCCTGCTTCCACGAAGTTATTCACTGGAATTTTAACTTCTCCCAAGAAATAGTTTCGTGCAATCGACTTGTGCCACACACTCAGACATAATATTCTCGTCAGTAGTTCGTCATAACCGATAAAATACTGAAAATAGAAGAGCAGTCGAACCTCTCGTAAGCAGACACCCTCGGGACCAGAAAAGGTGTCCGAGAGGTCTCCACTTATGGGAAGTTAAAATGAAGTGATTGTTTGTAGACTACATGTATTATTAAGTGTCCGCTTGCAGAAGGTGTCCCCTTACGGGAGGTGTCCCCCTACGCAAGGTGTCCCCCTATGGAATGTGTATTTTAGCGGAGGTTTGACTGTAATTACTCTGAACCGAGAAAAAGATAAAATTTTTCTCGCATATGTTTAAAAAAATGTAACACTGAGCGCGGATGGAAAATTCTAAGTAACTATTCGCCAGTTACGAGCCCGTGTTTTATGTCATGCATTCATGAAATTAAGCAATTGCAATTAGTAGACACCTTAAAGGACAACTGTCTAACATCTGAAAATTTGGGTAGTTTTTAGGCCGAAATCAAGAACAGATTTGCCTTTCAGGAGCAATGTGCGTACGATCTTGTTATATCAGCGAATGGATAGCAATTAGAACACCAACTCAGATTGGCAGACTCTCGCAATGCAACACGGGGAGTGACTTCTGATATTGTTCTACTACTAATGATAACGTCACTTATATGGACTATTACCACATTGTACTGATTTCATCTTACCTCCAAAACCTCATCAAAATGTGGATTTAGAGTGTCTTTTTTTGGTTTCGTCTTGCGCTTGCTTCGTTTGTCTGGCAGGAGATACGACTTCACATAACTGAAAAGAAAATAAACCCAAGCATATATAAGAGGTTATCCATTAAAAAAGCGTCATGTTTTATGCCGAATCGTATCTTTTTGCTCCGCTTCGATGGCATATCAGGAGAGTTTGGTCGAGCCATGGTTCGTATTTTGAATCGACTGCGTCTCGTCCATGTCCGGCGAGACCGATCGAAGGAGCTTCATATGTCACCAAAGAGTACCAAAAAGTTACTTTTAGGTATGTACCGTACCCAAATTCGGCCAAGTGAACATAATATCATAGCCATATCAGCTCAGTGACTTGATATCACAGGATATCAGGACAGTAGACACGGCTTCTGATTGGCTAATTGTGAATATGGGTACAGTTGTATAGAATATTCCCAGAACGTAAGAGAATACTTACGGATCTGACGAGCTTTTCTTGGCATCAGCGCAGGCCAGATTATTAGCACTATGGACATGTACTTCAAACCTTTTTGAAGGCATCTCGTAACGCAGGCTCACAAACAGTTCGCCAGTTACAGGAACACTGCTGTAATGCTCCTCACCTGGATCACTCAGCAAACTTTCGTTGCTTCCCTAAAAAAAAAATCGGCAGAAATTTGTAATTGTAACTAACAGAAGTTTGTAATGTAACTTCAGAGTTATTTCAAAACCACCGATTAGAAAAACTGACCATAGCTAACAGAGGGAAATGGTTCTCTTAAAAAGAAACCTGGCAAAGCTTTTCGTTGCATGTTTTTGTTGGCTATTTTAGGGGTTGACCCTGTACAAAACCCGGTAAAATACAAAAGATGGTTATGTGTGCTCATAAAACTCAGCAATACAAGCATTGCGATTATGTAGTTTATGCATAGTCTATGAGCATAAATCAAAAGATGTACAGGGTCAAGGACCTTCCAACATAAATCTTAGCCTGTTTGTTTTCTTCTTTGATGTCTACCGGGTTTCTTAGCCATTTCCCTCTATGTACTACGAATTGACTGAACTTAAGTGGCGCCTTTTCGAATAACCCTTCACTGGAGGTGAAACGGTGCAGAAAAGACTCGGTTACACCTTGCTGGATAAAAATGAAATAATGGATCATCAATTAATGGTTATTTAAAACGAACCACTTACCCTCGAAGCCTCGGCTTTGGTTACCTGCAGCGCTTTGGGATGAGCAACCGAAGGTTCTGTTGATTCGGGGGATGGCTGAAATTCAAATTACGAGAGATAATGTGAGTAAATTAAGAGAGCCGGTAAAGCTCACTACAGTACCGCCAGTCATTCGAGACCAAACTACTCGGAATTTCAGAGGCGAAAGTGTCACTTGCCGATAGACTGCATGGCCTGCTGCTTTGATTGACCGAGAAGTTAATTTTGACAGCAGTTACTGCATGATAAAGACGTATTTTATTTTCGTCATGAACGCGTATAGCTGGGTTTCGTAGCGTGTAAGCATTTAGGGCTGGGCATGAGTTGCTTTTAACAAGTTTTTACTTTTCACTATCATAGTAAAAAGTAAATCATTCGTGTTACGACAACGACTAAACTCATGCCGTGTTGGGACGACTCAACTCAACGTTAACGAGGAAGTGGCGCTGTTTAGAGTATGTAGATCTATATGTATAGTTTAGCTAATTTTTTTGTGCTGCCATTTCCTTGACCATGACGGTGGCCAACCAGAAAGCTCTTGCTGCTTTGGCCACCGCTCACGTGTAATTTTATTTCCTTATGGCTCTATAGTTCTCAACTTTTTTTACTATGTTAATTTTCTTTACCCATAAATTGTAAAATTCCCAGTATAGTTTAAATTTTAAAAAAATTGAATTGAATTGAAATGTTCACTGCCCTTCACACTAGAGGCGAACTTAAGTTTGAATTAATACCCATGGCCCGACATAAATAATAACAATACATATATTATCATATACAATATCAGGACTGTACCCTAAACATTCCCCTTATTTTAGTGACAATTTCATTTTTGCTAATTTTGCGGATCACGAACATTTATTTTCACGACACAAATGTAGAGTCTTGCCTGGGTGCGACAAGAGTTACTTTAACTGTTCCTTTAATTCACAGATACGTTTTTCGTGAAATTATATCCTCCGAAAAAGTAAGAGACTAAATAGTTCTATTTATTCTATACTCACTGTATAGCCAGCCTCTAAAGCTAACTCTGCCAGGGTCTTCCTCCTCGTTTCGGTCTTTTTTCCTTTCTTTGCTTCTTCAATCTTCCTCCGCTCCAGACTTGGCGACCACTGAGGACCTTTAGCCACTCTGATAACGTCCGGTTGGGAACCTTTCCTAGCTGAGCCTTATACACAAACACACACAAAAATATTAACAGATTAATTCCATGCTAAATTTTCCAATACCTCTCACTATCATGATGTACATGTAGTAGAGGTGAAAAATACAGCTACAGATCACAGCAACGTATCCGAGAGGGTAAGGCTTGAATTTGCAGGATACATTGAAAGTTAAGGTTAAAGACTGGTTGTCTTATCAGGATGGTTTCCACAGCAACAAGAAACTAAGAGCAAAACTACATCCACTGCATTGGTTACTAATCCATCGCAGGGCTACCCCCCACCTCTCCCCCAGCGTTGAAATCACAATTCCTCTTTTTCCATTTATTCACCTGGGTAGAGAGAGGCCCTGTGTGAAAGTACAGTGTCGGGGATCCAGCGCATGTATAATAAGGAGCAACATGTATAATAGGGAGCTTAAACAAACCACGAATGCAATGGCAAATTACGAGAGCGTCGCTAAACAAAACGAAGGAGTTAAAATATTCAAAAATAGCTCTGCACGTGCGTTATAAACCTTCATTTCTTCGCCATCCTCTGCAAAACAGCAACGTGAGATTACCGACTCTAATTTTGCATACTTTAGAAAACCTGCACCACGACAGCTAATTTTTCGTATTTCAAATTGGAGGTTCCTTAGCTTTATGACTGTAGCAGGAGCTCGTTATCAAACTAATAGATAAAGCGAAAAGGTCTAGATAATTGCGCGACTTTAAAGGAATATAATTAATAGGCGTTGTCCCGCGAGTAGCCGTCCTCAAAGGCCGCGAAAGCCGAAAATCGATTATAATACCAAATTTATGAAGAATTTGATGACATAAGGCTCGCGCTTTTAAGAACTCTTTTAGATCTTGCCGAGTTTTAAAGCAAAAACCATTTGAGGTAAAAAAAAAATCATTTGCAACTTTGCCAAGAACAGTCGACAAAACGGCCGTTAATAAGCGTTTCCCGAGTTGCCTTTTGGCTCTGTGTCAAAACGAGTATTCGTGCGAAACTGATTCATTTGAAAATGTGTTTCCCCTACAGGTTCATTTTCATGCAAATCAAACTCATTTGAAAAAGAAAGATTTTGCACGAGGACTCGATCTGAAACAGAGGCAGCTAACAGAGATAACAGGACTAACTTGTTTCTGGTGACCCACGCTTCTTCAAATCCGCTATGGCCAGTTCTTCATTAATAGGTCTTGGAGCCGACACCGCAAAGTCACTATGACGGCGTTTGATCAGTGCTGCTTCGGGCAATAATGTGTTCTTCTCGATTGTGTTTTTGATGTTATGCTCCGTGTGTCGCCTTGGGGACGGGGGAGGAGAGGGTGGTGGAGCGTCCTTCTTGTCCAGTCCCTTAGCAGCCGCGGATAATGTCAGAGGTTTGTCCACTTGAATTTCTGGAGGACTAACTACCATGAAATTCATGGCGAATGCACTGATAGATTTTAGAACTGGTTGCATATGGTGTTCTGATTCTTCATGGTTTTGGTCATCCTCGCCGCCGCCTGTTGTTGTTCCTTGCGCTGTAGGGCTTACGTCACTTCCGTTCACGTGACTCACAGAAATTCCAGAATCATCTCCCTCTTGCTGGGAATCTTTTAAGTCATGGCTTCCTTCGCTATCAATCGATTCCAGCGTAGTTTCCATGGTAGAAGTAGTTGAATCTGCCGAGGTATCCTTTGGCTCCAACTGTTTATCTTCCTCTTCAAAAGCAAGATTTTCATGCGAGGAAACTAAGGGTACCTCTTCCGGTGTTTGCGYGTTCTCGACAGCCTCGTCAACTTCTGACTTAGCCTCTGATTTCGTTTCACTTGGGTTGTTGTCAAACAGCTTCGGTAAATTCCTTTAAATATAAGATAAAACCGTATAAAGTGCAAGCGATTACAATTACTCAAAACAAATTTGAAGGAGCTTGCTTCAGTTCCCAAAGTATATGTTGTATTTAATTTCTGACAAGGGATAAATTGAAAATAAAAAGTATTGACTTACTAAAAGAAAACCAACCACATATACGTTGAAATCTAAAATAAACAGACATCCAAAGCTTAAATACCGCAAACACAAAACAGTCGCCTTGAAGTCGTTCACGAGAACTTATTTTCTCTCTTCAGCATTGAGTCTAAAGGACGAGCATCAATTTTAATAAGCCTCATTTCATATGATTTGTGGTGGTCCTCTCTCTTGAAAGGAATTCTTCACTGTTTTACAGATCGATTGCCTCGTCTCCAGGTGTCCCGCGGTGCGCGTGGAGTTATGGTTCTCTTGCGCTCGAGTTTCGCAACCTAACCATGAAGCACCGCGCGACCAGTTACCGACGAAATGCATCGTGAACGGGCGACGCGAGTTCAGACCAGGTTAAATGAGCTCAGTCACGGTTTGCGCATATTGAAAAGTTTAGCCTCAATTTTTCAAATTCGTCGTTTGTAATCCGTGTTAATCTTCTCCATCCTTAGCCATCCTTGTTCCTTTATGGTTTATCATTATCTCTTTGGTGTTTTTCTATCTTATTAAACTGTTATTTTCAGGTTTCCTACCATTTAAAGGTAATTTTGTATTTGGCCAAAATAACTTAAAATACTGTGACTGAGCTCCTTAAAAAAAAAGAAAATTGGACTCCCGTCCCCTGCCCGAGTCACACTACATCCCACAAATAAACCGCCAATCATAACGCACCCAGCAAATTGGTCATTACATAGAAGCCTTATAAAAGGGTTACTTAGTTTGGTTTCCTCGAAGCCGGCTTCTTAATGTTGCTCTTGGTGAAGCCTCGGAGAACACAGAATGTTGGCCGAAAATGAACAGTGCACTCTGTTATCTTAACTATCGTCTGAATTTTCCTCCGTTATGCCCGGTTGCCTAAGTTTTTAAAACGGCATGAATTTTAAAACACTGTGTGTTCGGCTGTCGAAATCAAATTTACACTTTACGTCGAGGTATCCTTCTTCGAGTCATATGCATAAATGGTTGACTCCCAAATAAGTCCAGAACAACAGATAAACGCTCAGCTTTACTCCACAATCTCAAAGCACTAGCGCTCTTCGTTATCACGCTGTTTTATCGCCGTTTCTATGCAAACCTGTTGCAGTTTATGCTGCTGTTGCCCAAATGAGTTGGTGAGTTTTCGTTGCCCTTGGGAATTACAGATAGGTTTTGAAGTGTTACGTGACAAGTTCTTGTGCAGGAGAAAGCTGCATTTCAGTTGAAGGGTATCAGTAAATACGCTGTTTATTCCATTCACACCTCACGAGTGGCTTAGCTTTTTTTTCGTTTAAAATATTTAATTTCTCGACAACTTGCAGAAACAATATTGCATATTTTAAGTCGGTTGTCCGCCAATAGAGGCTTCAGTCTTGTTTACAAAATTTTACTTTAGACAGTTTGCACGGCTTTTTAACCGTTAAATTGTTGTTACTATCTCATGAAATATATTTCTCATTGTTCCAATATTTTTTCACCTGTTTGTATAATCTCATCCTGTAATCTTTATTCAGCTGTTTCTTGCAGTTTTTACTGCAATTTAGTTAATATGAATCAGTGAAATAATCGGTTTTAATAATCGATTTTAATCAGTAGGTCATTTCCGAATTACCTTTTGCCTCTGTTTTCAAACGAGTACAAAACTTTTCTTGTGAAAGTGCGTTTGATATGCATGAAATTGAACGCGCAACATACATTTCGCAAATTTCGCAAGAAGGCTTGTTCTGAAACTGACGCAAATGCAACTCGGAAATGAACTAATAACAAAACATTTTCTTAAGACTTGATCTAAATATATTTTCCAAACGTTCGGAAAGTCTGGGTGAATTTATGTCGCGATCTTATTTTCTTTACCGAGAGGAAAACACGATCATGGCGAGAACAGTCGAGTCGAGACAAGAAAGATACCTCAATAACAAAACGACAATCACAAAGCTCCGCCTTGTACTTCAACAACGGGTGGCATACTTTTAAAGGAAATATTCGCAAAATTTGAATTGACAGTAATGACAAGGTTTAATACGGTCGAAACTTGAAAAAACATGGAGGCCGCCAGAATAACTACCCATTTACATTCCCGCGAAGAAGCGAATTAACACAGCTTCTTTTAGTCCCTTCCAGCTCTCTTTTTCAAATCGACTGATTTGCCAACTAATACTTTCCAATTTGTTTCGTGAAATTGTGTAATGACCATAAGGAAAAATAGAACGTCTACCTCGACAGATGGTCCACATTTAACAGGTGCTTAGTGGTTAAGTTGACTTTAAAATTGAGTATCGTCATCATGTTCTCCTTCTGGAGCCGTAAAAATTGGGTGTAAATTGTGTTTCTGTCACGTTCTGTTGTCTTAACTGCTGCGATGTTACGAGCAGTCAGCTACATTTAACGAGATATTCGTAGTGTTCAGAAAACGATTTGGAAGTATGATGTAGGAATTCATTATATAACTTATGCCCTCTTCTCTGTCAAGCAAATAATTATTTTAAAAACTGTTCTACCGTCGGCGACATCTTGTGACATAACTCAGCACAAACAACTTGCTGCAGCTCAAAAAAAAAAAAAAAAAAAAACGAAAATTGTACTACGACGCAAGTAGATTCCTTTTTCTTTAGGATCGTAGTTTTTACGATAAATTTTAAAAACTATATTTCCACATATTCAGCTTACACATTTTGTTTTGATTAGACCTGTCACAAAAGCACCTAAGAAAATCGGTAACAACAGTCGGTCTATATTTTTTTTTGAAAAAAATAGTGGTGGTAAAAATAAAAGATAACGCGATCGGTATAAAAATATTAATATTGCTTAAGTTGAGGATTTCAGTTCCCAAATATGTGTCACTATCATAGAAGTGCATTTAAGGCGATAGCTAAAACACAATGTTCTGTGAGTAATATCGCATTCACGTTTCGAATTTTACGTTCAGGGCGATTAATACTCTCCGCCGACTTTTGATTTACATTTAGTATAGCGTACGATTTCCGATAGAAGAATTTTCGCCCTCTCGTAGTTTACAGGTTTTAATTTTAGAGATAGATAGCTTCTTGACTGATTTATCTCGACAGGAACTTCTCTGGCATCAGGAAAAATTTAAATAAGCATTTTGACGGCAGGAAATTACACTGTAGCGGTGATCGCAAGTTGATTATCGGTTTGCCAAATTTTTGAAAGTTTTGCTTGCATGAATGTGAGCAACTGTGAAATTGGTGACCCTGGTTGCCCAGTCCAAGAAATTCCAGAAAACGAAAGGTTAACACGGGCAAGAATGACATGATAACAAATTTAACACAGTACATCGATCGTCATAAAATGTTAATGTAACTTACGGTAACAGCCGACTAAAATGCTCCATATTACTAGAAACTTCCGGCAATTCAACCCGCTTCAAATCTGCTTCGACTTGCAGTTGTTATTAACGGTTTGTAGGAAACTCAAACAAATTTTAACATTAATTCACCGAACAAAATGAACGCTCCCGAAATTTTCGCATATATATTGCGATAGGCCGTCCTCATGAATAAACAAGTATGCAAGCAACACAAAACCCCACGTCAAAATTTGAATTTTGCACCAATCAAATTTTAATATGTCTGCAATTTCTGGAGGACTTTCACGTTGTCTGGAAACCGTGCTCCTTTCTACGCTCATTTCTCGCGATTTAGCACAGTTCACAAACACGTGCGGTCCCAAAGGACGTTATGTATAACAAAACTAAGAAATCTTTTTCAAAATACCTTCTACAGCTGTGGTAAAACATTTGCTTTGGCGTTAGAAAAGGAACAAAAAAGATGTTTATTTTTTTTTTTTTTTTCAATCAATTTTGAAATGGTCCTAACCCAAAATACATGCGCACACGAACAGATTGTAGAAACTGAATTTATAAACTTTAATTATGAATCAACAGTTGTGGTTATAAAATGCTGTTCAACAACCGCTTCTGTTCGCCATGGTTGTTCATTACAGTCGTGCTGGTAGCTCTAGATGATTATAAAGCCAAGATTTTAATTGTTATGGTAATCATTTCACGTTAATACGATTGGGCATGGAGACATTTTAGTCGACTCACTCCACGTCTAAGGTCTTACAGGCCTTACCCGTGTTTCCATCACTGCACCATTAATTAACAATTACATTTGATAGCTTTGCAACCCAAAATGTCGAAGTTCTCTTTTCACATTATAACGTCAAAAAAGGTGCCAGTTTTCAGTAATAACTGAAATTGGAATATTATCTAAAAGTTGTTAATTATACAAATGATAACTGACTGGCTTCAATGTTTTACATTACTGAAAGCTCATCTAAGGTACCCGAAACATAACTTTTATAGAAGACTCGAAGTGCAAAACAAATCAATAATAATGCTATTGCAAAAGAACAAAAAACAAAATCTCATAGAAAACGAATTAGTGACACCATCAGAGTGCAAATAACAAAAATTTCGTTTTCTGAACCGTAAAAAAAGGAAATAAAAAAGGACCATATACTGCTCTTTTATTGTTGAGTTTGTTCAAATATTTTGACCATTAAACCGGATTTTCGTTTCATACGAAAGATAAGCTTGAAATTAAAAGACGAAAAGAAAAAACTTATTCCTCGATGAAAATGAAAAAATATATATATTTATCAGTAAATAAAAACGAAAGCACAATCAATTATTCATGATACGCAATATTCCCGTGTCTTTAAAATCATATTATGAGCAAAAAGAGAAGCCTTTTTTCTTTTTTTGAAGTAAACATCCGGTAATGGGAAATTTATTGCTTCTTCTTCATAAAGTAGTGTTTATTGACAACAACCGGTGTGATAATGGAATAGATTACGGTAGACAGGTTTTTTGGTGCTGTGTCTACAAATACCATACTTGTC